TGATAAACATCAGGGATTACAGGAAATAATTTGCCTGCTAACCTTTCAAATCATAAATCATCAATCGTGGAGTATAAGTTTCGATTCCCTGAACCAAAAAAAAAAATTACAATACAGAATAAATTATCCACGTAACATGCGATAATTAGATCATTATCACAAAAATTTACATTTTGAGTAACGCCCGCACGAAAGAGAGTATCATGAAGAACCTCGATTTCTTGAGCATGTTGACCAGTGTCAAATGAAAAATATTCCTCCTTTGAGTTAAAAAATCAGCAATGTTTTAGTATAGTAAAGTGGTTCTACACACCAGATAAAAACGATGCGAATCACAAACTTGAGTGTTCCAAAAATGCGCACCAACATAGTTAGAAAAATGACCAAATTGCAAAGTCACGATCTCAAGCATCATGAACCTTGGATTCGTCAAAAATCGAACGAGATTTGATATTTTATACTATTTGTTCTCTTGAATATGATTGGCCGATAAAAGATATTAACTATTTTAATATAATCGGAAGTGAAGATTTAACACAAAACAGTGTAACATACTAGTAACGTAACATGCAGATCGGCCGGTCAAATCGTGGAACACACACGCTCTCAAGGTCAACTCTGGCTGAAACCAATGTTTCGGCCAAGATTAGAAAACATGTAATCTAAATGATCATGTGTTTAGGCCCGTGCAACGAAAGTATTTATTTTTGCCCCCCTGCATGAGTTTTGTAACCTGTTTGCTTTATTTAAAACCTAATGTTTATGTAGCACAGTCTTATGATACCACAAAAGTTCTCATTAATAGATTGGGGAACCAGTTACGTGTACATTATCAATTATTGTTCAGACACGATATGCTTGATCGACTAAACTATACCTAACTATTTGGGGCTCTAGCGTATGCTGATCACAGATTAAAATTTATATAACAAAAAGACTTTATTCGTACGATTCATAGGATATAGTTTATCATATCGTTCTAGACTTCGTCGTCGTTCCAAAAAGTCGGCTCGATAATGTATGAGTGATGGATAAATTTTTTTATTACTTTTTTAGTGGGGTCATTGATTTATTAGCATTAGAGTTTTTCTTTTTTTTTGAATTGCTGGGAAAAAATGCGACAATCCCACTTGTTTGGTGGTCCGACGCAGATCTTGGAATAAAAGTAATTTGTTAAGTCTTGGGATTGGTTCAATCCGAGCAGACACGGATGACGATCTAATAATAATCCCCGATCCTTTCACACAAATTTTTTTGATTATAAAAAAAAAATACTTTCAGATAAACTTTATCAATTTTTCACCGCATATATGCGTTTGCATCATTTATTATAAATATATCCAACGGCTGTTTTTGTGTGTTTGTACTATATCTTAAAAGATTTGTTTTTTTTATGTAATTAAAAAAATTATTCATTACGTAAGGTTTCTATCTAGGAAAGAGTAGAAACGAATTTATGAAATAAATAAATACGTTGGTAATCCGGCACCATCCAACATTCATTTTACACTTATCCCTGTTTAACTATTATAATTTACGTTTGATTTAACGAACATGATATCAACTAACCCTCCTAAGCGTGTACGCTTATTTGAGACGGACCCAAGTTTACGAGAACAACAACACTTGCAACAACTTCATCCTCAACAACTTCAACTAAACTTACAACAAGAACAACATAACATTCAAAGACAATTATATCAACATAATCCTGTTCTTGACGAATTTTCTTCTCAACAGCAGCAACCCTTTTCGATATCTCCTGAGAACACGAATTCTTTATCGTCGTCTATGGACCTTTGTAACAAACATGAAGAACCTTTGAATAAACAAGACTTGCAACGACTTGAAAAAGTCATTGATTTGATATTTCCGAATAAATCTGCCGCTGCAAAAGAAGCTGTCTATAATCTTTTAAGATCCTCACCAAATGTATCATCCACGAAAGACGATGATACAGCTTCTATAGTTCTCGACCTTCCAATGATTGTTGACCAAGGCCTCGAAGCTGATCAAATAAAGTCTCCGTTGGGTCATATGTTAAACCATACCTTCCCCAGTTCTATAGTTGAATTAGTTGGAAAACTTAACAAGATGTCTATAAATCCTGCAAGACTAGATTTTATTAATCCAAGCGCGAGTCCATCTTTAATAAAATCGGGTTCTTCCAATAACTTTTCTTTAGCTAATCCGGATCCCCCAACAAAAGAATTGCGTAAAAAATTGATAAATGATTACTTTAACAAGTTTAATGTTGTTGTTCCTATTCTCGATCGTAGAAAATTTGTCGATAAATGGAAAGATAAATCTCACCCTTCTGAATTGCTGGTTAATTCGACTTTAGCCGTAGCTGCGGCAAGGTATTCTAATGACCCGTCGATACAAAAAACACCTAATAAACCAGGTGGCGTGTTTTTCGACTACGCAAAGGTATATGCATGTGTATGCACCTAACTTTGTGCACGTGATCTGTGTTAGTCTAATTTCTCTCTCATAACAGAGATTATTAGATGCAATGTACGATACTCCAAGGCTTGAAACTGTCCAAGCTTTACTTCTTTTAAGTCATGCGGAGGTTGGTGTATCACGCATAAATAGTGGGTCTATGTTCCTTGGCATGGCCGGTATGTATTGATTTTTTACATTTTTACATACACATATATTTATTTTATATTAATTTATGTTGATTTGTCGTTGTTCATGCATTAATATAGTACAAATGGCCCATGCGTTGCATCTTGAACGGGATGAAAATTCTATAGATCCGGAAGAAGATGAAGAGAAACGCAGAGTGTTTTATTGTATTTATTGCTGCGAAAGGTGATTATCCTTTTTTTTTTTTTTATTAATTGAATTATTTCATTTTACACTTTTATTAATAATATTCTATTATTAGATGGTCATCATTCTCAATGGGCAAACCTTCTAGTATAGACGATATAAATATCAATGTTCCCTTACCAACATTGAAGTCTTTCGGTTTTTCAACAAGGAGCTTCTTCATAGCACTTGTGAAGTTATCACGCATACTTGGTCAAATTTGGAAATTTGGTTATTCTTCTCAACCTAAAGCGACTCATACAGGTTGGTTTGATCAAGTGATGGATAGAAAAAGTACGCTAAGACAAATACGTTCGGCATTAGCAAAGTGGTTAAAAGAATTGCCTGATGAATTACAATATCAATATTTGCCTAATACCGACCCACGAAGTCTCCTTCAACTGGCAACATTTTCTATGTTTTCTGGTTAGATATTTAACAAATGCTATAATTTATTCCTTTCTTTGCTCATAATACTCATAGCTATACTTATAATACGTGCATTTTTTTTTTTTTTTTTTTTTTTTTTTTTTGGATCAATTTAAATTCTTTTCTTAACTTGTATAATTGTGTTTCAGCAACCTTTTTTTAATTGTGCATAAAAAAAGCCAAAAA